CCAGTTCTTAACCATCGCGCCACTCGGCCGGCCCTATTTTAAATTCTTAATCCATCTCTTCTAATACCTTAACATCTGATAAAATCCGTGCATTTTTTGCTTGTATGTATATCGAAGCTAAGTTATTAAGTCACAAAAATGATTATTATTATCTTCCTGGTGATTTTTTAAAAATCAATGTTAAGTATCCTTCTCACTCATTTTAATGCTTATCTGTCTTGAATTCTACTTTGTCAAGTATTAATGTCTGTCTTCCTGTTTTGTTTTAGACACTCTATTCAGAATGAATTTCTCCCTCCTTGAATTGTTAAATTTTCTATTAAAGTATAACTCATATACAGAAAAGTGTAAAGTGCATGAATGTACAGTTCAGTGATTACTCAAAAGGTGAATATTCATGTAACTGTCACCCAGATAAAGAAATAGTATAATGCCAGAATCTCCTAACCACTTCTATACTCCTCTCCACAAATAACCACTATACTAACTTCTAATATTATGATTTAGTTTTTCTGTTGTTATATTTTATATAAATAAAATCATACAGTATATTCTTTTCTGCCTATCTCTTTCATTCAATATTATGTTTAAGATTCACCCATATTATTGTGTGTAAATGTAGTTCATTAATTTTCTTTTTTGTATTGTACCACAGGTCCTCAAATAACGTTGTTTCATTCAACATCATTTTGTTATAATATTGATGAGATACTGTAGAAACTTAACTCTTGTTTTTGTCTCTCCTCAGTTCTCTTTTATCTCCTTTTTTTACTTCCCCCTCTAAAACTATTAAGTTTTCTTTATAATTTTCATCTGCTTGCCTTTTTGCAGTACACACTGGGAAATTTTTTCTCTGCTCACTTCTCTAGCATATTAACTCATTCTTCAGCTATGTTCATAGCACCTATTTATTATTTTTATTTTGGCAATTGATTGTTAATTTCTAAGAACTATAGTTAAAATGTTATGGACAGATGCAGTATACTTTCATGATTCTGAGGAGATTTAGTTATTCTGAAGTTATATTCTGGATACACACACACACACACATACATATACATACATACATATATATGGTGTGATCAAAACATATGGTGAATGTTTAAATTAAAAAATAATTTATTACAGTAAAAGACACATTGCCATTAATCCCCCTCAAAACACTCCCCCTTGCTTTGAACACACTTATCCTATCATTTTTGCCATTTTCTGAAGCAGTTCTGGAAGTCCTCTTTCGTGAGTGTCTTCAGTTGCTCTGTCATGGCTGCCTCCATGTCCTGAATCAATTCAAAACACTTACCTTTCATGGTCATTTTGACCTGGGGGAAGAACCAGAAGTTGGACGGTGCCAGATCCAGTTAATAAGGTGGATGAGGACACACCATAATATTTTTATTTGACAGAAATTGCCTACCAGAAGCAATGTGTGACACAGAGCATTGTCATGATGGAGGGTGAAGCCGTTTGCCCATTTCATGTTAATGTATTTTTTATGGTACACATTAAAACACACCTTCTCTCAACTGCAGCTCACACTCAACTGAATGCACTGAACAAGTTGAAACTTGTCACACACTGTTACTAAGGTTTTACACACTGCTTCCCATATTGAATACCCCTGCATTACCATGCGACTGGCAGGACAGTCAAAGAAAATGGCGGAAACACAGTTGTCATTTGAGGAGTACAAGACCATTTTGAAGTGGTATTTGAAATTCAAGAACGTTGTGGAAGTATGACAATGGAGGCATGAGTATGCAACAGAACCTCCAAGATGCCTAACAATTGCTTGCATTTGTGATAAGTTTGAGACACATGGTACTGTGTGAAGAGATTGAAACAACATGTGATACAAGTGGACACTTTGGTCAACATTGCTCAAGGAGTAGTTCACCATAATCAGAAGTGTCTGGACGCTGATGGTAACCACTTTGAGCACCTCTTACAATTGCAGAACTCAAACATGACTTGTATTCATCTTTGTTATCACTATATATTGAGTATTACAATTTTAATAGTTTTTTCCTTTCTTAAAATGTGTATACATTTTTTGGCACTGTGTGGTGTGTGTGTGTGTGTGTGTGTGTGTGTGTGTGTGTGTGTGTGTGTATCTTTCCTTATTTGTAAATTTATTCCATTTAATGAACGTGGTGCCTCAATTCAAAATGCTGGCTTTCCCCAAATATTTGATAATACTTTAATGGGTGTTCATTTTGTATTTGAAACTTCCTATTAACTTGTAATTGCTTTATCCATTTACTATTGCCTTTTTTCATGGAATAGGCAATTATGCTACCAAGCAGAGTACCTTAGAAGCTCAGGGTGACATTAAAATTCTTATGCAAGTGATTTACTGAGCGAGCTCTCAGTAGAAACCTCTGAGTGACGGAAGCCTGATAAGAATGTGGGAAAGCCAGTGGTTCCCAAATTTGCTATACATTAAAATCATCTGAAGAGCTTTAGGAAATCCTAACAATCAGGGGAGTAATGTCAACAAGATGGCAGAATATGAAGCCCCAGGCTCTTCTTTCCCATGGAGAAGCTGACTTAACAACATAAGGACCGGATTACCTTTGGGAGGATGCCAGAACCTTGAGAGATTATAGCATTCCATCCAAGCACAAGGCAAAACAAAGGCACACTGGAGCAATTAGGACATTTCATTGCACTTACCCATCATACCCTACCCTCCTTCATCAAAAACAAGGGGGAATTGGGAGAAAACTCCTAACTTGTGGCTTTTCCCTCAGGAGGAAAAGGAAAACGTGGAACATGTATCCTAAACTCTGGCCTTTTGAGGGGCTGCCCAAGGTACTGGTTTTTGTCTCACCTGACTTGGATTGCTGACAGAAAAGAGATTGGCACACTTTAGATGCTTGAGGTCCACTGAAAACAAAAACAAAACAAGTGGGTTGCTACAACTCCAGAGATATTTCAGTACTGCAGTTAGACACCTGGAGATGTTCCCTAGTAGAAAAAGGCAAAACTCTTCAGCTGGAGATAACACACCCAAGCCCAGAGAAGATGCATCCCAGAAAGGTTTCAGAGGCCCCCGGAATCTCTATCTTGACTGATTGGTGAAGGCCTTTCCCTAGTGAAGATAGTCCATAAAGACTGGGAGAAGTGACTGTTTTTCAAAATATCAAATTTCTACAAAATATAACAAGGCATCAAAGAATCGGGGAATTATGGCTCAATCAAAGGAACAAAATAAAACTCCAGAAACCAACCCTAAACAAATGAAAATGTATGAATTAAAAAACAAATAATTCAAAGTAACCATCATAAAAATGTCCAGTGAGCTAAAATAGAACACAGACATCTAAAATAAATCAGGTGCATGAGCAAAATGAGAATACCAACAAAGATGTAGAAACTATAAAAAAAAAAAATTCTTGAGCTGCAGTATACAATAACAAAATTGACAAAAAAAAAAAAAAGACTAGAGGGGATCAATAACAGACTGGATCAATCTGAAGAAAGAATCCATGAACTTGAAGACAGGTCATTTGAAATCAAGTCAGTAGAGCAAAAAGAAATAGGAAAGTGAAGAGATACTAAGGGAGTTATAGGATACACTTAAACAGACCAATCTACACATTATGGAAGTTCTAGTAGTGAAAGTGAGAGATAAATGCTCATAAAGCCTATTTGAAGAAATAATGGCCAAAAACTTCCAAATTTGAGAAAGGAAATGGACATGCAAATTCAAGAAGCTCAAAGAACTCCCACAAGACTAAACCAAAGAGACCTACACTGAGACATACTATACTCAAGCTGTCAAAAGTCACAGAAAGAGAGAATCTTAAAAGCAAGATAAAAGCAAGAGCTCCCATAAGGTAATTAGGTATCTCAGCAGAAACCTTGCAGGCCAGAATGAGCTGTGGTTGATATATTCAAAATGCTGAAGAAAAAAACCGTCAACCAAGAATATCGTAATCCAGCAAACCACAGGTATAAGCTTCATGACACTGAATTTTGCAATGATTTCTTGGATATGACACTGAAAGTGCAGGCAGAAAAAGCAAAAATAGGAAGATGAGACTACATAAAACTTAAAAACTTCTGTACAACAAAGAAAACACAAAGTCAAAAAGCACCACAGAATGGGAGAAAATAATTACAAAACATATATCTGAAAAAAGATCAGTATTCAGAACATATAAAGAATTCCAACTCAACAATAAAAATAAAAAAACCTGACTAACTAATGGTAATGGGATTGAATGGACATTTCCCCAAAGAAGGTATACAAATGGCCAACAAGCTGACACATGAAAGTGCTCGACATCTGTAATCATTAGAGTAATGCAAATCAAAACCATAATGAGATATCACCTCATACCCATTAGGATGGTCACTATTAAAAAAAACCTAGAAAATTACAAGTGCTGACACAGATATGGATAAATTGGAACCTTTGTGCACTGCTGTTAGGAATAAAATATGGAGCACAGTTTGAAGATTCCTCAAAAACACTGAAAATAGAATTACCATAAAATCAGTAATTCTACTTCTGGGTATATATCCAAAATAATTGAAAGCAGAATTTCAAAAAGATACTTGCACACCCATTATAGCATTATTCACAATAGCCAGAAGGTGGAAGCAGCCCAAATATCTATTGATAGATAAATAGATAAAGAAAATGTGGTATATACATATAATGGAATATTATTTACCTATAAAAGAAATCCTGTCACATTCTACAACATGGATGAACCTCGATGACATTATGCTGAGTGAAATAAGTCAGGACAAAAACTGTATGATTCCAAAGATATATCTAGAATAGTCAAAATCATGGTAACAAAGTAGAATGGTAGTTCCCAGGGGCTGCGTGAAAGGGAAATTTTACCACCTTTAAATAACATTCATTCAAAAGCAGAATTTTTATTCTTGAAGTTGTAAAGGTTAATATATTTGTTGTAAATTTCAATATAAAACACTGTTTTGTTAAAGGGATGTTTTAAAATTGGTTTTCACAGTCTTTCTCTCAGTTTTGTATTAGGTGCTGTCTCACCTGCTGTTGTTGTCCCTTCCATGCTATTTTTGCAAGAAAATGGATATGGTATTGAGAAAGGCATCCCAACCTTACTAATAGCTGCTAGCAGTTTGGATGATATCTTGGCTATCACTGGATTCAATACATGCTTCAGCATAGTCTTCTCCACAGGTAAAAAAGAAAATACAACCACTGCCATATCATTCATAGCTTCATTTTTGTTGTTGTTAGTTCTTTCAACAAGGTTTTTGGCTTTAGTTCTTCATTTATTAACCAAGACTTTTTAAAATTTAACATCTTTTTGTTCTTTGTAGAAATCTCATTCTAGACCAGGGAGGATATTTCAATGGGTGACAAAACCATTACTAAACAAATGATTTCATTTGAATAACCATATGTTTCAATTAATTTGATAACGTATATTATTAACATTTATCTGCTCATGTTGCTTTGGAATTTTATCAGTTTTCAATAGAAAATGTTAAGCAGCACTATTATTAGTACTACTAATATATTTAATAGCTACTTTTGAAATATATCTTTTGGCTATCATTATAAATAACTGGTTGTTCTACTATTAAGACAACTTAAATATGTAGAGCATGGACAACTGTGTGCCATTTTGGCTTTTTTTTTTTTTTTTTTTAGCTGAGCCATCCTGCCACCTGTTGGCAGCTCAGCAGCAGCTCAGCTCGAGCCAGGCATCAAACTGCTGTTGCTCAGAGCTCGTACTCTTGAGCAAGCTCTTAACCAACTGAGCCACTCGGCCAGCCCTTTTAGGGTTTTCTCTATANTTTTTAGCTGAGCCATCCTGCTACCTATTGGCAGCTTAGCTGCAGCTCAGCTCGAGCCAGGCATCAAACTGCTATTGCTCAGAGCTCAAACTCTTGAGCTAGCTCTTAACCAGCTGAGCCACTCAGCCAGCCCTGTGTGCCATTTTGGTAGTGGTGGGCCAAGATCCTGCACCAATTCTGAATTCCAAAGGGATATGGAATCTGACAATTAAGTTCGCGAACTTGTTGCAGCGATGTTGCTAACCATTTTTGATATGAGAGGCATTATTCATTGTGAATTTGTAACAACTGGACAAACAGTTAGCCAGGTTTACTATTTGGAAGTGCTGAAAAGGCTGTGTGAAAAAGTTAGACGACCTGAACTTTTCACCAACAATTTATGTTTCTTGCATCACAACAATGCATCAGCTCACATGGCACTGTCTGTGAGGCAGTTTTTAGCCCCCAATGACTTCTTTCTTTACTTGAAGATAAAAAGAATATTAAAAGGAAGACATTTTGATGACATTCAGGACATCAAGTGTAGTACAATGACAGCTCTGATGGCCATTCCAGAAAAAGAGTTCCAGAATTGCTTTGAAGGGTGGACTAGGCACTGGAATCAGTGCATAGCTTCCTAAGGGGAGTACTTCGAAGGAGACCGTAATGATATTCAACAATGAGGTATGTAGCACTTTTTCTAGGATGAGTTCGCAAACTTAATTGTCCGACCTCCTATTTGGTCACTCTACAGAAATTGGGAAAGTAAACATTTCCACATTTAGTAATACTTTAGTTATCTGCAATGTTTGAAATTCAGTCATCTGTACTGTTAAGCACCAAATTTTTTTTAAGTTGAAAAGATATGTGTGTGTGTGTGTAAGTTTGTCTTACAATCATAAAATATAAATAAAAAAGAAGGAAAAAGAGGAAAGATTAAAATAAAATCTGCAATAGTCAAACCCAAGAATAATAATCCTGAATCTTTTGATGTAAATCCACCTACACTTTATCTTGCTATCTATCTATCTGATCTCTCTTTTGCTCTCTCTCACTCTTTTTTTCCTCTTTGCTCCCAATATTCTTATAAAATTATCAAACATTAACCATACTTTCCTGTAACCTAAGCTATTTTGCACTTGTCTGTATATTGCAAACATGTTTCTCTTCAGTAAATATATTTCTATGACATTTTTAATGGTTGCATAGTATTCAGTTGGCTGCATAATAATTACTTAACTTGAAAACTGAGGTTGACTCCAATATTTACTATTAAAATAACACTTGGTTGAACATCTTATAGTTAAATAGTTGTACCTAAACTTAATAACTTTTTTAATCTTAAAAGTATAATTGCTGAGCTGAAAAGTACATAGAGGTATAAGAATTTTTTAATTTAAATTAAATTAAATTAAATTAAATTAAATTAATTTAATTAATTTTAATTAAAAAGGTATAATTTTGAAATATATTGCCCCAATATCATGTCCTACCATGCTGCACAAGCTTGTCACTTTCTCTTTACCCTTTTCTAAATGAGGTATTACTCATCTTTTTTTACCTTTGCTAATTTGATAGGTGAAAAGTGAGGCCTCTTTAAGTGAAGTACTTTGACTACTAGTGATATTAAACAAATTTTCATGTTTATTGGCCACTGGCATTTCGGTATGTTTCATAAATTGCTTTTCTTGAAATCTTTTGCCCATATCTTATAGGTGTGTTTATCTTTTGTTATTTTTGATTTGTGAAGATTCTTTATAAAATTAAGAATAATAACCCTTTGTTTTATATTCTTTAGTTTTCCCCATTTGTAATTTGACTTTCAGCTTTATCTCTTTTTGCCATTCAGAAGTTCTGAATTTTTTATTGTCAGATCTGGTCATCTTTTCCTTTGTGACTGGTATCAGTCATTCTTTCAAAAAATGTATTTGTGCTCCTCTTCCATTGCACCAGCTACTGTGCCAAACACTGGATAAACAGTGAACAACAATGTTAGCTTTTATTGAGTAATTGCTTGGTACTTGCTCTAAGTTCCATAGATGTTTAATAGTCACAATAGTGCTATGCTTATTTTACAGATAAGGAAACAGGAACACAGGTTAAGTATCTTGCTCAAATTCACAGATCCAGTAAGTAGGGGAGCCAAGATACAAACCTGGCAGTCTGACCCCAAACCCATAGTTGTAAGTACTACTCTCTGAACTCTCAGTACTACTCTCTGTGCCTCTCAGCACAACAGACTGAAAAGACCATGTGGTCCATGTTCTCAAGGAGTTTATTTAAACAAATAATTACAATTGTAATGAATATTATATAGTATAGGATGCTATGGGAACATGCTACAAGAGCAAACCTCATTTAAGGAAGACAGAAAAAGTGCAAAACCAAGTAGGTACATGCTTTGAAAATCCTCTTTCATCCTATGACTATGTAAACTGTCACTTAAAACTTTAAGGGCTTTTTTAAAGTTTTGTTTTACATATTAGATCTTCAATACACATATTTTAGAATATGGTAAATATCAAGATCTAAACGTATCTTCCAGGTCAGTTGGCCCTTTTATCATTACAAAATTTCTTTTGAGAGTATTTGACCTCAAATCTATTTTGTCTGATATAAGTATGACCATCCTTGCTCTCTTTTGATTACTATTTGCATACAATATCTTTTTTCATCCTTATAGTTATAACAAACTATTTTAAAATGATAACAACTTAACTTCAATGGTGTACAAAAACTCTACTCCTTAACATTTCACCCTCCCCACTTTGTATTATTAATGTCTCTAATTTTATCCTTTTATAGTATATCTATTAATTAACATAGTTTATAGTTATAGTTATTTTTATGATTTTATCTTAAATTCCGTAACAGAATAAAACGTTATTTACTCACCACCATTGCAGTATTACAGGTTTCTTAAATCATCTATATATTTACTTTTACCAAAGGTTTATATTTGTATGCTTTTGTATTGCTGTCTAACGTCCTTTTATTTCCTCTTGAAAAATCCCTCTTAATATTTCTTTTGTGAGGCAGGTCTAGTGGTAATGAACTCCCTTAGCTTTTGTTTATCTGGGGAAGTCTTGATTCTCCTTCATTTTGAAGGACAATTTTGTGGAATAATATTCCTGGTTGGCAGTTTTTTTCTTTCAACACTTTGAATATATCATCCCACCCACTTCTGGCCTGTAAGGTTTCTGCTGTGAAATCTTCTAATAATCTTATCGGAGCTCCCTTGTACATGATGAGTTGCTTTTCTCTTCCTACAACTTCTTAACTGGCTTATGGAGTTTCATAAAGGCTTTTATACTGTATATTTTTGTTAAGTTGCTGTCTCTGTGGGGGGAAAAGTTTCTGGGGCTTTCTATTCCACCATCTTGCTATTGTCACCCTCCATTTATATTATTTTTAATGGACATTTAAAGGTATAGAATATACACACCTTATTGAGCTACACACACAAAGCATAACTGAATTTTTTGTGACTCGGGATTATTTTTTTTTAACTTATTACAATAAATTACAGATCGAGATAAATAAAATATATTGGAAACTTAATTAGCCTTTGAATATTCCTAGGATTGACCCTGGAATAAATCTTTTCTTCATGTTGTTGTTGTTAAATTGTTCTTTTTATGTTTAAATTATTTGTTTCTTTGTTCAGAGAAGAAACATTACCAGCCATGTGCTAGGTCTTATAGGTGTTCCTTTGTCAATCTCTGTCCATTCTTCTATCTCACCTGGTCTTTTAGGTGGAATGTGTAAAGGGAGCACATAGCTTATTATGTCTTTGTTTTCTGGCTTATTTGTTCAATAAACACTTCTGTTTTGAGTGTATATATTAAATTATTTAAGAGTACATATTTAATTTATCAAATAGATCTGCATATGTTTTCACATTTGTTAATATTAAAAGTCCAGTTTTGTATATTTGTTTTATAATATGAATCACCTAGATTTGATTTTCTGATGTGTTAGGTATATAAAAATATTTCTCTATGAAATGTTTTCCTTATTGTGTGCCCTTACAGGTGATATACTTAGTAACATCCTTGCCTCTTGTCGGGATATAGTTATTGGTGTGCTGGTAGGAATTGTTTTGGGAATTTTTGTTCGATATTTTCCAAGTAGAGATCAGGTAAATAAAAAATTAATCAATTTTTAGAAGTATAGTATTAGACATTTTTTTTTAATTTGAATTTTTAGAATATCCCTGAAATATTAAATTTAATATTTAATTCTCTTTCCCCAAAAGTAGCTCCAGTGCCTACTCTCTGCATAAAACAGAGCACAGTTGTGATTGATATATGTCAATGGCCTTGAGTGAAGTCTCTGCTTCCTGATTTGTCAAATTAAAAATATTAGAAAAATGTACTTAATTCAGAGTACCTTCCATTCCACCCCACCCTTTTCTTCACTAAATTGTCTATTGACTTTTGACAATTTTTCCTAATTTTTTTTACCTCACAATTTTCCTTTGAACATTTTGGGGAAGATAGATTTCCATTTATCTCTGCATGTTTTCTGAGTTAAATTCACTCCCACTCCATTTGACTAAGGCAACACTATTAAACTCAACCCTTTTCTGCCCTAAAGTATGTGCTATTATTCTTGTATTTCTATAACTTCCATCTTGATTTGCCTGTAACAATTAATTGTTTTAGCTAAAGAAATATTCAGAAATTTATTTTTAAGAATTCATTGGATATGTTATATGAACTACATTTTACTGACATTAGTATCAGAGATGTGGCAGAAGATGAAATTTAATGATTACAAATTTTGTCACTTGGTACCAAGTCTGCTAAAATACTTGGTGAGGAAGGTCAAAATTTTAGACATTATTTAATGTAACATATAGAGACATGGTATCAAAGGGTCAATAATAAATGATAATGTAAATATTATATATTTCATGTAAATTAATTTATAAATATTCATCTAATTCTAGACAAATATTCCATTGAAGAGAGCATTCCTTGTTTTGAGTATGTGTATTTCTGCTGTCTTAGGCAGCCATCGTTTTGGTATACATGCAGCTGGGGGATTATGCACACTACTGTTGACTTTCATCGGAGGGATGAATTGGTCCAAAGAAAAGGTGAATATTTTTAATACACTGTTTTTTAGATAAAGTAACTGCATTTTTTTTACATATATAGTAGACGTTTAGGAAACTTCTTCATTCTAGTTAGAAGAGATCCCAGAAGTCTTCAAGGAAGTATATGAATCAATAAAGGAAATAAAGTATTTAGGAAAAGGATCAGGACAAACACTAAAATTCAATCAGGAGTTGAGTTATCACATCAGGCCTTCCCCCGCCCCCCCCCAAGTTTTATGCAATATGATTGTATAACTTTTATTCATTTAATTATTTTATTCATTAAAATTTTAGTTACACAGTTCATACACGAAAGCACGCTCATAAAAAATTAAAATAATACAGAAGGTTCACATTTAGAATAATATGTAAGACTCCTTTTCCCCACCACTCCCAAATAACAACCCCCTTCCCAGAATTAATCATTTCCTCTAATCTTGTATTTGTAGACATTTAGATCACTTCCATTTTTTATTACAAATAGTGCTGCCATGAACAGTCCTGTTTATGTGTCTTTTTGCAAAGTACAAGTAGGAATAAATTCCTAGAAATGGAATTGCTGAATTTAGAAATGGTATGTTTTTACTTTGATGGATATTGCCAAATTATCCTTTTAAAAGGTTTTATTTATTTACACTGTTTACTACCAACAGTGTTGAAGAGTCCCTAATACTTCAAACCGTCAACAGTCCTGGACATTGTCACTAGTTATATTTTTTTTACATTCTGATGGGTTAGAAACTATGTAACATTGTGGAATATTACTCAGCCATAAAAAAGAATGAAATCTTGCCATTTGTGACAACATGGATGGACATAGAGGGTACTACACCAAGGTAAATAAGGCAGACAAAGAAGAACAGACCCTGTATGATTTCACTTATATATGTAGCCTAAAAAATAAAAGCAGACTCATAGATACAGAGAACAAACTGACGGTTGTCAGAGGGGAGAGGGTGGGGGGATGGGTGAAAAAGGTGAAGGGAAATAAGAGGTGCAAACTTCCAGTTACAACATAAGTAAGTCACAGAGATGTAATGTATAGGGAATATGGTCAATAATATTGTAATAATTTTGTTTAAGATTCTTTTGTATGGAAGTAAATTTCCTACAGCCAAACCTGTCAATTTTTCCTTTTTCATTCAGTATCTTGTTCAAGAAGGACTTCTTCACTCAAGATGATAAGATTATAAATATTATAATACCTTCTATATTATCATCTAATACTTTGGTAGTTTTCGCATTTAATTCTTTAATCCATCTGGAATTTATTTTGATGAATGCTGTGAGATAAGGATGTACATGTGTGTATGTTTATACAAGGTGTGATAAAAAATATGGTAAATGTCTAAATTTAAAAAATGTATTACAGTAAAGAACACAGAGCCATTAACCCCCCCCCCTCAAAATACACCCGCTTGCTTTAAACACACTATTCCCATCGTTCTTTCCACTTTCTGAAGCAGTTCTGGAAGTCCACTTTCATGAGTGTCTTTAGTTGAACTGTTATGGCTGCCTCAATGTCCTGAATTTATTAAAAACATTTTCCTTTCATGGTCATTTTGACTTTGGGGAAGAGTCAGAATTCACACGGTGCCAGATCTGGTGAACAAAGTAGATGAGGACACACCATAATGTTTTTGACAGAATTGCCCTACCAGAAGTGATGTGTGACATGGAGCATTGTCATGATGGAGGATGAAGTAAAGACACTCACAAGAGAGGACTTCCAGAACTGCTTCAGAAAGTGGCAAGAATGATGGGATAAGTGTGTTCGAAACTAGGGGGAGTATTTTGAGGGGGATTAATACCAATGTGTCTTTCACTGTAATAAATTTTTTTTTTTTTTTTAGCTGAGCCATCCCGCCACCTGTTGGCAGCTCACGGCTGCTCAGCTCGGGCTGACTCGAACCGCTGTTGCTCAGAGCTCAAACTCTTGAGCGAGCTCTTAACCAACTGAGCCACTCAGCCGGCCCTTGTAATAAATTTTTTTTATTTAAACATTCACCGTATTTGTTGATCACACCTCATATATATGTATTCATAGACATACATATATAAGTACATATAATAGATATATACACATATGGGTTGGAATTGAATAGTCAGTTTTTGCCAAATTATTTATTGACTAATCCATTAATTATTCAGTGATCTTTAAAGGCCTCTTTTAACATGATCTAAACTCACATATGTCTAAGTTCATTTCTGGAATTTATTTAATCCTACTTATCTGTTCCTATGCCACTACCACTCTGTTTTAAATCTATTTAAAATTATAAGGCATAGTTTTATGTTGCAAAATCTAATACAGAAGATTTTCTCTCTTTTTTTTAAGATTTTATTGGGGAATTGGGGAAGGGAAACAGCGTTGGGGAATCGGGAAAGGGGAACAGACAAGTTGCTGTCCTTTTGTTCTTCAGTCTAGTTGTGGAGGTCACCGCTTCATTGGCCCATGTTGGTATGATCATTGCACTCTTCCCAGGTGAGGCAGTTGCTCGCCGGCCATTGGACGGCCACTCACAGCGGCTCACGGCAGCTCTCGCTGGCTGCCGGCCACCGGCTGCTCACGCTGGCTGCCAACAACTCACAGTAGCTCATCGCAGCCCACTGCAGCATGGGCTGCAGCCTATGCCATCGCCGGCCACTCACAGGAGCCCAGCTCCAGATCCAGTCATTGTCACCATCTTAGCTGTAGAGGGCGCAGCATCACTGGCCCATGTGGGATCCGAACCGGGGCCCTGCTGCTCAGAGCTCGCACTCCCAAGCCAACTCTTAACCAATTGGGCCACTCGGGGGCCTTATTATACTTAAAGTATTTCTTGGCTCTTCCTGCCCATAGTCTTTCTTAGATAAATTTTAGAATAAGCTTGAGAAGTTCCCTACCCAAAAATTATACTGGCATCTTCTTTAGTATTCCAGTAAAGTTATAAAAGAAATTAAGTGGTAATAATAAATTACAATTAGATAAATTAAAAGAAACCTACCACAATTCTTTTTTTTATGATAAAGGAAATCAGACAGAAAAAAATAGACTTTAAATATTAAAAGTAACAAGATAATGTGGTATAAACAAGGAAGAGTAAAAATTGTTTTTTTCATTGTTTCTTCCTCTTTTAAACTTTACTTTTATAAATAGCAATCAGGAAACTCAGACATTAGGGGAATAGTTATGAAGATAATCTAAAAACCACTTCATCCAAGTTCCTAGAAAAGAGAACACTGTTATGTTCACAGGGGTCTTTGCTGTAACCACATCACTGGGGAAGTAGTACTGGGAGAAATTCATTCCCAGAAAGGGAAGCCAGCCAACAATCAAATAAGAATCTATTATGTGTTTTTGGTTTATTTGTTTATTTATTTTCAGTTACAGTTGACATTTAATGTTATTTTATTATTAGTTTCAGGTATACGGTATGGTGGATAAACATCTATATAATTATGCAGTGATCCTCCCAATTAGTCTAGTACCCACCTGGCACTCTACATAGTTGTTGCAACATCATTGACTGTATTCTTTATGCTGTACTTTACATTCCATGACTATTTTGTAACTCCAATTTGTACTTTTTAACCCCTTCACCCTTTTTCACCAGCTCCCTAATGTCCAGCCCCTCACGCCCTCTGGCAACCATCAGTTTGTTCTCCATATCTGTGAGTCTGTTTGTGTTTCGTTTGGTTTGAAGAAAAAAATAACTGAAGTTTTCAACGTGGGTCCTTTCAAAACAGGCCTAACAGATTACCAGGGTTTTTTCCTAGTAATTTGGGACATATCAGGATTCACCTCCATGGGATTGGGTTTCAGGATAATTGTTATTGAAGACTTTCTTCCCAAAACCCTTTTGAGAGCTGAAATGTTTGCCTGATCTTGAGTATGTTTTCATTTGGCATGATGTATATAGTTCTGTCTCTTCTTCGTTACCTTACAAACAAAAGCTGGAACTCTTGCTGAACATCAGAACATGTCTGGAGCTCCAAAGACTTTACTTGTTCCATGACAAAATTACCCAATATTTATATTTTATAGCTTTGTAAATTTCTTTTAATCAAATTTTACCTAAGTGTTAGAATTAACCAACTCAATTTTTATTGTTTTAGCATTTCTCCTATAAACTATCTTAAGTTTATTTATTAAGAGACACTTAACATTTCTGAAATGCAGTTTTTTTTTTATGTGCCACAGAAACTAAAAATGTATTACTTTTTTCTACAGATTAGAGTCCAAAAAATTATTTCATTTGTATGGGATATTTTTCAACCCCTTCTTTTTGGTTTGGTTGGATTGGAAGTATCTGTTACAGCTCTTAAATCAAATGCTATTGGTAAGAATGATTAGAGGCACAAAAAATATAAGATTTGAAAATATTCAAGAAATGTATGAATAACTTTTATTTTTATTTACAATATGCCTTTGAATGATACAAGGACCTTCTTCTGAAACCCATGTTGAGACAGTAACATACATTTGCTCTTCTTTACCCTTGCGTGCTTTTTCTTACCAAAGACAGTCCTATCTCTTCCCTGAGCCACCTGAAGAAAGAGATTAGAATTTTTTTCTGAGGGGAAATATGAGATACCATCAGCCTCATTTGAATACTTTCATTTATAGTAAAAGTTCAAAGTCTGTGAGCTCGGAATTAAATAAATGTAATCTAGCTTATTTTTCATGGTACACCACCATCAGGTAATCTCTTGCACTTTACATAGAAGCTTCAATCATATTTGTGTTTTGTATGATTATTATTTTTACTTAAAAAAATAAAGACAGAAAAGGCAATAGCCTTAAAACGTTTTCAACACTTTTACAAGTCATATCCCCCAGATATAAGGAACCCCTTCTTTCCACGTATTTTGTTACTTATGTTTGTTTCTATCTGTTGTTAGGCATTTGTGTTGCTACCATGAGTCTGGCATTATTGGTTCGAATTTCTTTTACATTTTCACTGATGTCTTTTGCTGGTTTTAGTTTTAAGGAAAAAATATTTATTGCTCTATCATGGATGCCCAAAGCTACAGTCCAGGTAAGAACATATTAAGTCCTTCTTATAATTTTAATGTTGATTTTTTAAAATTTTAAATGAAAAATGTTTGTGTAATCACAAAATGTGGGCTATTATCCTTACTTTTAAAATGCTTGATTGATCATAACTACTCAGTAAAATTAATGTAATCTTTTAAAATCTCAGTTTTAAAAGCAATTCTTTTCAAATTGAAAAGTGTACTTTCAATGACAAATACTTCCTGAACTTATGAAAACATTTTTTTCTATTTTCCCAAAACATAAAATAAGAGTCTATCTGAATATTGGAATTTTTACATTTTGCTGAATATTGTAGAGCTAAATGTTATGATTTTAAAGTAGAGACACATTGATTCTTCTAAAAATATGTCTTTCCTAACTCTGCCAACCACTCCACCACACATGAATGAATGTACATATATTATTTTTAATTATACGTTTAATTTGTATGACTATTTGATTAATGACTGAATCTCCCCCACTAGATAAAGAAGGATAGGAACCATGTCTGATTTTTTTGTTGTTGTCGTTTTTTTGTTTTTTGTTTTTTTTTCATTATTTTTTCCCTAGCACTTAAAAGAGTGTCTGGAAAACAGGAGGCACACAATAAATAAGCATTTTGTGCCTACAAGAATGAATGATGGATGAATGAATGAATAAAAATGGAGACCTTGTAATTTTGCAATCTAATTCAATGATATTCTCCTCCTACTACAAAAGGTATCACTGCTTATTGTTAGACTATAACCTGGCAGCGTGTGTTGATTCCGTAAGAGTCTTTTCTCCGTTGTTATATCCAAGCAAAAGCCTGTGAGCCTCCATGCAACAAAATTCTCTATGTGTCATGGCTAGAAAGCAGGTCCGTGGGGCCAGGCTGCCTGTTTTGGATACCATGTTACTTACCTATATAATCTTAGACAAGTTGCTTCACGATCTCTCAGTGCCGTTTTAGATTCCAAACCTCTTATCAATTTTACTGTGTCACACTGTCCACAAAGTAGGAAGAACAAGAAGATGATCAACAAAGTCCTAGTGAAACATAAGAAACCTTTGTGTTTTTTGTTGTCGTGTTGCAGCCAAGAACCAAGTGGTACATTGTAAAGGCAAATAAGCAAAACCCTGGTTCAGTTAGAACTAAGGGTTCTGAGAGTAATGTGAGCACTCAAAAAAAATTTAAACAGGAAAAGCTGAGATGACCAGAATATAAAATCAGCCCCAAAATGTTTGTATGCTGATTTGTCACTATTTCACTCTTCCTCCAAATGTATTTGCTAGAAAGAGCATAGAATTAATGAGTAACTCATAAAAATTCCTCAGCACTTTAAGTCTTGCGTCTTTTCTAGTAGTATAGTGCTAGGTTTTGTTTAGTTTAACAGAGCCATTTACTTTTATTATATTTTAACTCTGTTTAACATTTTTCATTATGCGTCACCTTCCTCCACCACTGCACCCAAATGCAGGCTGTATTAGGTCCCTTGGCTCTAGAAAGAGCGAGAATCAGCGCACCCCACTTGGAGCCATATTCAAAAGATGTGATGACAATAGCATTTTTAGCCATCTTGATCACAGCTCCAAATGGAGCTCTCATTATTGGCATACTGGGGCCCAGATTACTTACACGCCATGATCCAAAGGAAATAAAACTGGAGTTGACAAGATTAGAACTTCATTAAAAAGTTAATTTGCCATCACCTGCCTGCTTCTCTTAATGAATTATCTTATCTGAGAGAAAAATAAAAAGGAACAAATATGCGAAGACTACATAGAAGCAAGGATTTAATAAATATGTGATTACAGAGCTTTCCTATGTTTTTTTATTGCAAAGTTAATTTAATGAAAACAATATAAAATAGAATGTCCTAGTATTTACATATTTCAAGAACAAAGTAAACCTGTAAATGCCCTAGGATAGTTTGAAGTAATCCACCAAGAAGAATGTACTGTCCTGGTACAAACTAAGGACCTCTCTCAGTTGCCTTCTCCTCTAAATAACCCTCTGAACTTCAGTGACCTTCACTGACCACATCACCATTTCCTGTCCTCTCCCCAACAGGTCCACTCTGCATCACCTCATCTTAAAGTTTTCTTTTTCTTTCACTGACAACATATTGCTTAAAATTCTGTTAACAACAATTAATATGAATTCCAATCAAGTAGTCACTGGATGTGTACATCCCCTGCAAGAGGGAGTGTAATGGGCTCCCTTTATCTGAGAGCAATTCCTACAGAGGGATTTTTTTCCGAGCCCTCAACAGACAACACTTGATGTCGGCAGGGGAATGAGTGCTTCAGTCCTGAAAGAGAAATCTGGGCTACACGCCACAGAATACACTACTGTCCAATCCTTGTGCCTTTGGGATCCATTGCTTCATGTAATTTCACTGCATCTAGGAAAAACTCCTCCAGGATTCTGGTTGGTTTCTTTTGCTGGGCAATTTATGAAAGAATACTAGTGGAATGAACTGCAGCCCCTTCACCCTTGGCAGCTGGTCTTGCACCCTCAACTGATCATCTCCCACCTCTACTATCTGCATGCTCTCTATCCTACACACCTCCAACCTTCAGCCTGCACTTCCGCTGGTCTCAGTCCCTTAACTGGTGGAGGGACCCAGCTCATCATCCCTCAGGCATCTGAACCCAGATCACCATTCATCCTCCACTGAATGTAAGATGCCGTGCTCATCCATGGCTTTCACACTTGTCTACTTAAATCGAGCCATAAAAATCGAACAAGAGGTTCCTAGAGATCCCCCAGTGGACCAATTGGGTGCCAAAGACATTCCTCTCTGCTTCCATTTTGTAACGGCATTGAATTGTAACCACTGATCTTTTTATTATCTCTATGATTTTTCTGTCTAACTGAAATTTTTACTGTTATTTAATTTGGCTTTATTTCTTTGGGGGATATATTATTAGGTATCTACAATTTTAGGATCGGTGTATCTTCTTGATGAATTATTATTATTATTATTATTATTATTATTATTATTATTATTATTTAGTGTATAAGGGGGCCAGTTTGAGCAATTTGCGACTGTTCAAGGAAAAAGATATGGCTTTGCGGTGGCACTAACACATGAAGGGTTTTGGGTTTTTTGAAATTTTATTGGGAAACAGTGTATTTTTCCAGTACCCATCAGCTCCAAGTCAAGTAGTTATTTCAACCTAGCTGTGGAGGGAGCAACTCCATGGCCCAAGTGGGGATTGAACCGGCAACCTTGGTGTTATGAGTGCTGTGCTCTAACCAACTGAGTTAACCGGCCGCCCCTGTTTTCTATCTCTTTGTTAAAGTTCTAAGTTCCTTGAGCATTCTTACAATAACCATTGTTTTGAACTCTGTATCTGGTAGGTTGCTTGCCTCCACTTCATTTAGCTCTTTTTCTGGAGGTTTCTCCTCTTCTTTTATTTGGAACATATTCCTTTATCATTTTGGCTGCCTCTCTGTGTTTGTTTCTATGTATTAGGTAGGGCTGCTATGTTTCCCAGTCTTGCTGGGTGGCCTTATGTAGTAGGTGCCTTGTGGGGCCCAGTGACAGTCTCCCTTGTCACCTGAGCCGGGTGCTCCAGGAGTGTCCCTTCTGTGGTTTTTGTGTGTCCTCCTTTTATAGTTGAGCCTTGATTGCTACTGGCATGTCAGTGGGTGGGATTGACTTTCAGGCTGACTGGCTGTGGGGTGTGACCACATCCACAGCTTATGGACTGCTGTGCACTTACCCCATGGAGCGCAATTCACTCTAGCAGGCTCTGGTGCCTTTTGAGACCACCCTTTCTGTGTGCCACCTGTGGAGTTAATTCGGTGGTGCTCTGCTGTGGTCTGAAGCTAAACATCAATTATGTTGGTTCTGGGGCCTCTTGAGAGTGGCTCAGGTGCACGCTGCGAACTGAGGATGGCTGCCACCAGTACCAGGCCTGGGGTAGCTTTGCAAAAAGTCAGGACACCCCGATGCCTGCCACCACCTGCCTACTCTTCATAAGTTTCAGCTGCATATAAAGCCTCCTGCAGATGCAAGTTGTATGAGGCAGGATCTCAGTGAGTCAGCAGAATAGAGCAGTGGAGCTCAACAGGCCAGTGAGATTCAGGTTTGGCCTGCAGGGGCAGACTCAACACAGGAAAGATGGTGCCTGCCTGCCAGCTGCAAGGGAGAAAGGCCCCACACAGAGTAAGTGAGAACTGTCCCGTCAGTCCTCGACCTCAAAGTTACACAACTCAGTCTCTCCCCATATGTCTCTGATGCCCCCAGAGGCACTGTCCCTTCATTGGAGCCCAGGTGAGTGTCTGCACAAGCACTTTAAGATGTTTGCGTTTTCTACAGCCTTTCGTCCCACTCGGATGGTCGGAATCCCCACTCTTTTTCACAGCAAGAAGTTGAGGGGGGAAGGCTCCTCTTCCCAGCCCAGTACTCCAGGCTGGGGAGCCAGGTGTGGGGGCTGGGGTCCCTTTCTCCTTTGTGAGGAACCTCTGTAGCTGAGATAACTCTCTCATGATTTTCAGCTGCCACACATGTGTGGGACCAGCCCTTTTCGTGTCTCTGCCCCTATCAGTCTGCAGATGGCTTCTTTATATCCTTAGTTATAAAACCTGTTCAGCTAGGGCCGGCCAAGTGGCGCGATGGTTAAGAACTCGCTTGGGATGCCAGAGGGCCCCGGTTCGGATCCCACATATGAGGGCCAGTGACACTGCCCTCTACAGCTAAGATGCTGAACAACAGCTCAACCTGGAGCTGGGCTGCTGTGAGTCGCCGGCGACGGCGTGGGCTGCAGTCCCTGTGGCAGTGGGCTACCATGGGCTGCCGTGTGTAGTGAGCGGCCGTCCAGAAGCCGGCGACTGATCTGCCTCACCCGGGAAGAGCGCAATGATGGTGCCAACTTGGGCCAGTGAAGCAACGTCCTCCACAACTAGACTGAAGAACAAAACGACAGCAACTTGTCTGTCCCCCTTCCCCCAATTCCCCAGCACTGTTCCCATCCCCCCAATTCACCAATAAAAATCTTTTAAAAAATAAATAAATAAATAAATAAATAAATAAAACCTGTTCAGCTAGGTTCTCTAGATTGTTCTATACTTTAGTTGTGATTTTGATGTGTTCATGCGATGAGACAAGCACAGCGTTTATCTACTCCGCCATCTTGGATCTCCTCCCTAAATACTCTTTGATTCTAATGTGAATTTTATTGAATTTATATATTAATTTTGAGATTTATATTTTTACAATTGCATTTTTTTCATGTGTTTAAATCCTGTTCAATTGCTTTTAGTAACATTTGTATAGGTTTTTATTTTTTTCTTCTTAGGGGTTTTATACCTTTGTTGGTAAATTTATTTTATCATCATTATTATTTTCTTTTGCTATTGTGAATATTTTTTCCCATTTCAAGGTGCTTATTGCTATTAAAATTTGTATATTCATCTTGTTTTGAAATACCTTACTAAAATCCCCCTTTGTTTTCCCTAATCTCTATGATTTCCTAGGTATATAATCATATCAACAAAAGGTTTTATATTTTCTTGTATTTGTACTATTATTTTATTTTTTTTTTTTAATTTGGTCAGTCACTGGATCCTCCAAGACAATCTTTAATATTAAATAATGAGTCACCTTTCCTGCTAGTTACTGATTTTAATGGAAAACCTTTGATTTTCAATACCTGTAGTCTTTTTATAAGCTTCATTGTTTAGTTTCCTTCAATTTCTATTTTACTCAAGAATCTTCATTATGAATAACTTGAATCTTAGCAATAGCCCTTTTAGCATCTATTAATATTTTCTTTCATTAATTAATGTAATTGTGTTGATTTACTGAAATCAAAACACTCTTGAATTCCTGTAAGAAATCCTGTTTTTCATAGTGTATTAGCCTTTTTTGTTTGTTTTTACAGTGCTGCATTTTTATTTAAAATTTTCATCCACATGTATAAGTGAGATTGTCTATACTTTTGGGTTTTTTGTTTTGTGTTTATCAGGTTTTCATACTGTTATATTAGCCATATAAAATAAATTGGGGAGTTTTTCCCTTTTAAAAAAACTGGAATAATTTAAACATTGGAATTATCTTTCTTGCAATCCTAGTACTTTTTACATTATGGATTTTAAAAATCACTTTTCCATTCTTATTTGATAATTCTTCTATTAACATTTTAAATTTCACCTTGGGTTACTTCCTAAGAAATTATGCAGTTTTTCCCTAGATTTTCCAATGTGTGGCTATACAATTGCACACATTATTATTTTGGGGGGACTGATATTTATATAGGAACATTTTATTAAAACAATGTGTAAGATTCTCAAATTACATTTCAAATGCAATTGTTAGAACATCAGAATCATGAGTATGAGGAGTAAATCTATAAAGGAGACACATGCCTTGCATGTCCTAAATGTTGAAAGGCCTCACTACTACGCACAAAGCAACTGTTTGTTAACAACTGTATCAGAAGTTTGGTAATCAGAAAACTGTTTTGAGCACTTTACATCCTAACAGATTGCTACCCATACACAGATGTTTTGTTAGTTTTCAATATATTTAAGGAAGTTGGTTGAGGGTTTGTGGTTGACATGTAACATATTGTAACTTTTCCAATTTAGAATATAAGAAACACAGGGGATGATGGACAGTTTATCCTGGTTAGTGTTTGCACATTACATATGATTTTCAGAAATGGATTATTGAAGTTCAGTGATAGATGATGCTATTTTTTTTCTTCACTAGTTACCCTTGAAATTCTGCCCTCCATATTTAACTTTAAATCTGAGGTTAATCAATATCTATACACTCTCTGTAAATAACGCAATGACTTTAGAACGCTCTAACTCTGATAATCTGCCAAACTATTGTTATCCAGCATTTTTGTGCTATCATTTTTAATCACACAAGTTAGAGAACTGATAAACACATAGTCACTGTTTTGATTTATCTTTGAATATATCTCAGACCTATCTTCCAAAATCATTTTCCTTTATCCTGAAATACATTCTTTAGAAGTTCCTTTATTGGGTGATTGTTGATAGAAAACTATTTTTTTCTGAAAATTTCTTACTTTGCCCTCATTCTTGACAACAATTTGAGAAGTCTGCTTAAAACTCATTCATTTATATAAGTGATCTGTCTTTTCTCTTTAGTTGCTTTGAGCTCTTCTCCTTTGGTGTTCTGTAGTTTCAGTATGAGGTGTCTAGGTATAATTATTTCTCTTTCTTTCTTGTACTTTCTGGATATAGGGATCTAGGGATTTACATATCCCATTTCTGCAAAGTTCTTAGCTATTTGTTTTCCTACATTGTCTTTCCCTCATTCTCTCTTTCTAGAATGTTTATATTAAGCTGACCCATATGAAATTGTAATTTTACAGATCAAAATTGATCCAATTTTGGTAATCTCACTTGGTTCAACCTAAAGACCTTCTATAACTATTTTCTATTAACTCCTCTTACATATTTTCCATTTTCTTATCTGTGATGCTTTCTGGGTAACTGACTTATCTTTTATTTTACCATAGTCTTTCTTCAGCTGTATATAACTGCTGTTAAGCACATTCTTTGGGTTTTTAATTTTAATGAGTTTTTTAAGTCATTTGAGTCTTATTCCTTACTCATTTTAATCCATTTTTTATCTCTTAAAAACTTTGCATATACTTATTAGTCTACGTCCAACAGTGTGATACCTAAAGTCTTTTGTAGGCCTAAATCTTACTCTTTGGTTCTAATGACTCTCAAACCTTAGGTAATATATTTTTGTGTTTGCTAGTTTTGTTTTGGTTTGGTTTGGTTTGGTTTTGGAGGGGTGGTAAAGAATTAATCTGGGGCCGGCCGAGTGGCGCGATGGTTAAGAACTCGTTTGGGATGCCAGAGGGCCTCGGTTCGGATCCCACATGTGAGGGCCAGTGACACTGCCCTCCACAGCTAAGATGCTGAACAACAGCTCAACCTGGAGCTGGGCTGCCATGAGTCGCTGGCAATGGTGTAGGCTGCAGCCCCTGTGGCAGTGGATTGCCATGGGCTACCGTGTGTGGCCAGCAGCCAGCGTGAGCGGCCAACAGCCGCAGTGAGCGGCCGTCCAGAAGCCGGCGACTGATCTGCCTCACCTGGGAAGAGCGCAATGATGGTGCCAACTTGGGCCAGTGAAGCAACGTCCTCCACAACTAGACTGAAGAACAAAACGACAGCAACTTGTCTGTTCCCCTTTCCCCAATTCCCCAGCACTGTTCCCATCCCCCCAATTCCCCAATAAAAAATCTAAAAAAAAAAAAAAAAAAAAAATTAATCTGTAGGAATCTTGAGGGGCCTAGGTTAACAAAGTTTCATCCATGTAGAATGTTGCATGCATTTTTAAGTGAACATTTTTCTATCTTCATCTTATTTCACTTCTTGGCAGCATTCAATATAGTTGAAAACTGTGTATTTCTAAGTTTTGAGTTTCTTCAATTTGTTCAGTGGGTGTTACGGTTCCTATCTTTAGTGTAGTAATGCTGAGGAATGTATGATGGATGCTAATGGAAAATTCCAGGAAATATGAAAATTTAGTGGTTTGTTGACATTATTTTCTCATAGTACAGGGTTCATTTCTGTAATTATGCAATGTATTACCCTTTCCCCTTTTCTATATTATTTTGGAAAATTACATCCTTATAATTAAGAGATCAAGAATTTGTTAACATTGTGGCTGATCTATTTGTCAACAGTGCTCTACGAGAATAATTACAGATACACTCTTTTTGTAAACGAAGAATCAAGCATTTAAACCACAGGAAAGTTAGGGAGTCAATTGCGACTGAAAGACATAGCAATGTGTCTCTGAACGGGTTTTCAATGTCCTTCAAGACCATAACTAATATTAAATTCCTAATAATTAATATGGACTGTCTACTTTTTATATTAAAATAATGCTTGATACATGTCTTTACAAAACTGGATTTCTGCAAAAGATAAGTAGTTGATTATTGGGGGAGGGAGGTTGTCACTTTGTGAGGGGTGAAAAGGATAACTATTGCATTGTTTTGTACACCTGAAACTAATAAAAAAAAGTTGACTATCTGAACATAGTAAAATAAAGTTAGCTTCCAGTTAAGACTTTTATGACAAACTAAAGTACAACCTCAGATGATGCAGCATAGCTAAAACAAATTAAAAATTAAAATTAAAATAAATGTGGGAGTCTTCTACAATCCAGCCTCTGGTACAAAGGGACAACAGTGGACAGCAAGGCAGTGAGTCAGTGACAGAACTGCCACTGAATGGTTTTAAATATGATTTTAATCCTCCCTAAGGTGGAAGAGGTCATCTAACACAATTTATGTGGTGTAAACCACTATTCTTTTATTTAGTTTTCCTTGTACTTTAACAAATTAAATTTTGCAGTGAATTAGTCATTTAACTTGGAAAATGTTTCAGTTGAATGGAAAAACTTTCTAATAAGCCTCCAAATATGAAGGAGTCAAGCTATTTTCTGCATAAATTTTCCACCTGGATGTACCACTTAAACACTAAGCTTTTAACTATTTGAAGTGGAACCAGTATGTATCACCAAATGCAACATATATCCTACCTTCTAAAATACCAACACAGTACTTACCTTGATTCAAATTCATCATCAAACAACACTTGTATAATTTGATCACAGTAATCCTATTAGGGACTGTGGTGTGCAGGACTCTATATTAAATGGTCTCAAGCTGCTGTGCTTTCAATATTCACATTAAATTTATTTTTTTGGTTCTCCCTCCTGCTGTTCTACCTCTAGCAGGACCCTGTAGATACTTGTTTGTTCAGGGGCAGAAATCAGATAACCAAACTTGTTAGAATCATGTGTGAAGTAATAAGCAGACTCTGAAGATGGGCACCTGAGGCACTCACTTCTGAATAAAGTACATGTGTACTGGTACCGTCTCTCCTGGTCTTCTCCAGATTGGTGATGCTGTCACAACTGGATTCTAAATGAATGAGGAGCAATTAGATGTTTCTGGTAGGTAGTAAATAAAATATCCACCATAATTTAAGAACCCTGTTGAACAGTAGAGTTTTGAGAGAGTAAAACTCTTTGCAGAGAAAGAGTCTCACAGCATGTTTCTAATGGAGGACTACATAAGGAAGATAGAACTGTATAGGTGAGAACCTGGCTTAATTAGCTTTACATAAACTTATGAACAAATTAGGTTACAAAATACAAAAGCAATTTACTGAATCATCATGAGGCATTGAATTCAAAGCTGCATTGTAATGTGCTTTTCATAATACAACTTGCTTAATTGTACATATGAATGAATCATTAATACTGGAAGCCTGCTCACCAGTTTTCCATACCTATTTAAGTAATAGTGTCGCTCATTTGCTGAGTAAGGCACTGAGTACTTCCTGGGTAAGCATCAGTCCTCCACAATCATGTGACACAGTAAAAACAGGGCTATCTCTGAAAGGTTTTAAAAACCCAAGATACGTTATTTCAAGAGCTAAGTTATCTTCTGTTGTATTAATTTGGATACAGTTGTTTATTAGATGTCTATTTTTGAAAGAAGACATGATGGAATTCTATGAATTTACAAGAGGAAGTGACAGCAAATGATCACAATGCACAATGTTATTAAAACAACAGCTTGCTACCAGCCTCAGGCTTCTGAAAAATTTACACAGGTGGGAAAAATATTTGAGCAGAACTCTTTTAACATATTTAAACAACTGAAAATGTGGAGGGAAAACTTTATTCTAAGAGTATCTTTTTACTTTTGGGGTGTGAAAACTACCTTTTATGAGGTAATTAGTTTTCTATTTTTTAAATGTTCTTACTTGAAAACATTAAAAGTTGAGCATTTTATATTTTAGTCTCCACATTTTTAGGAAATTTTCCCTCTTCCTGTGAAATCTAAGTCTGGGAACCACTAGTACGTGTGCAAACATGTTGCTGTGAGTTGCAGTGAATGATTTTAAAGAAAAGCATTTCATGACCACCAACCAAGCTATTTGAACTTTTGGTGAGGAGGATTTTTCCCAAAGTCTTGTGATCAACTGTGGAAAAATGATTGGTTCATCAGACAGTGAAAAATCCCTTAAGGGTGTTGAAGAAAAGGGTCTCAGGAAAAAAATACCCAGAGCCAAAGTGAGAGCAATGTTATATTTGTCCCTCCTCACAGGTGAGGAGAGGAAAAAGCAACAATTTAGGACATACACCTTATAACCCTCTCAAAACCACAACTACATTTCTAACTCAAATTACTGCCGTTGGTCAAGAGAAAGTAAAAAAAAAAATCCCACAACAGAACCTCTTGACATTACATGTAATAAATTAAAAATCCAGGTACCATGCTTAGTGCAGTGGCTGGTATATATAAGTGGTCAATAACTATTAGCTTTATGATTGGAAGAATAATTACATATGTCTGCCTCATGTACCTTCTTCATATATTGGGTTGTCGGAAAAGTCACAATGTATTTTTTCTGTTTTTAATTGCAAAAATGCATCATGACTTTTCCGACAACCCAATACAATGGAGACAGCGTGAACCGACTGGATTCCACCTTTAACAGACAGATATAAGGATAGTTTGTAATATGAAACTAAACAGGGGATAAAAAGTTACAAAAGTTTTAAATATTCTCTTGTAAGTTTATTTTGCAACTTTTTGTATTTGGTTTTATTGGTATACACTGTTATAAAAAGGAAACTATTCATATAAACACAATTTTGACCACTGAACTATTATTTTAATATAAATTCAGATATGCTTTATTTCTAATTGACCTTCAAATTGCAGCAGCTCATGAGTTTAGCTGTAAGTGTTCTTGCCACCCCACCCACCCTGTCACTGAGTAAAACAGCTCACCATACATATACACGACATCCATAAACAGATACAAACAAGCCTTTTGCAAAGAAAACAAAACTTTTACAATGTAAATAAGTGTTCCTTGTTGGAACTTTTTATATCCAGTTCCCATCTTTTCTGAAATTGGGATACTTATATTTATTAGTCAACAATCTCTATAAAGCAAAGGGCTTATCTCTTTGAAAACTCAAGTATTCTTGAAAGCAATAATTTTCCTACTGATCTAAAAAGAATGGAGTACTGAAGACCAAAAAAAAAAAAAAATCACTTCAAATGATCAAAACAGGAGAGAACTGAAAAACAATATCTTTACTAGTGTAGGGAGAAAAATTTTAAGTATAGATAGTGATATTCAAATAGAGTTTTAGACCCATGGCCAAAAACTTAGATTTTTCTCAATTAATTAAAATCAGAAGTGTTGGTTTTATTATAGGAAGATACATTAACTCTTTGAAGTCAGAATGAAAAGGGTTGCACACTTTAATTTCTATATAAATGACTGAAGATATGAAGTATCAAATATAAACAGTAGTGTAGCAAGAAAATAAATTGGCAGAAATAATTATTCAACCAGTAGTAATAATTAAGACCACCATTTGAAAGTTCTATACACAAAGAATGAAAAAATATTATAAGATTTTACAGCACACAACTGAATTCAATCCTAATTTATTACTATTATACTTCTTTCTTCTTCAGTATTAGTGGACCCACATTATCTCCTGTTAATTCATTGTGTTTATTATGTGAACCATCACAGGCAGGAAACTAGAAAGGAAAAAGAATTACAAGTGTTATTTTTTAAATGATTCAGTAAGTAGAAATATTTGTGAAATGCTCTTATAAAGAAAGCACATTACTTTGAAAAAAAATAATAGCTTTCCTGAGTATAGATATATTCCACATCTAACCAAGATACATCCCACTACAACAGCAAATCTAACTTTTAAATAGTTAATTTGTTATTTGGTATAGATTTTAAATAAGAAGCTTTGTATGATTCCATATGAGTCAATAAAATAGGTTTAAAAGGGGATCAAAATAAAGTCTTGTTCTCTGTGGAGCTCTAAATTTGAACTCACCTATTCCCTTATTTAAATTTTAAAAGAATGTAATTTAAATTCAAAATATATTATTTTATAATGTTTTCTTACTATAATAGTCATGCATACTATAACATTTTTGAAAAAAACTTAAAAATATATTTTTAAAAATTCACTCATAGGTAATAATAATTAAGATTTTAGTATATCTTTCCTCTGCATTTACTATGTGTATCCATTTTTTTTTGTTTTGTTTTTTAGCTGAGCCATCCTGCTACCTGTTGGCAGCTCAGCGGCTGCTCAGCTCGGGCTGGACTTGAACCGCTGTTGCTCAGAGCTCAAACTCTTGAGCGAGCTCTTAACCAACTGAGCCACTCAGCCGGCCCTTGTGTATCCATTTTAAAACAAAATGGGATCATACTGAAATATGCTTGTCTTACTGGTATTACATCATGCTTTCAAGTCATTAAATATTCTTTAAAAACATGATTTGTAGTAGCTTCCTAATATCCCATCATTTGTACTATTTTTATTAATCATTCCCCTATTATCAGATTCTAGATTGTTTCTAAAATTTTGCTATTACAAAACATGCTGTGATGAACATTATTACACTTAAAACCTCAAATAACCTATGATCAAAGTAATAGAAGAAAATAGACCTCATCAACTACTTATAATACTTATCACTCCAAACTCCTTAATTTCCACATTAAAAATCATCCATAATTATTGCTCATACTATAAGGCACTGTACATATATCATCTCACTAAATCCTAGAAAATGCCTGTGATGTTGGTATATTATCAGATTTAAAAAAACAAAACAAAACCCTGAAGATCAGAGATTAAAGATTAAGTAACTTGCCCAAAGTCATACCATGAATGATAGACATCAGCTTTGAACACAATTTATTCAGACTCCAAAGCTTAAATTCTTTTCCACTAAACCTTACAGCCACTCTCACAACACGTATATTTTAAACTACATGTTAGTCTAGCTAACTGCTGAACATGGTGAAAACATCACTTTCCTTGCTGTTCTAAACTTTTCTAACATAGGTAGTATTGATGATAAAATGCAAACTTTAATTTAGGAATATAGACTTTCAGTACTGAATACTGTGGAAAAATCTCTCATCTCACAGAACCTCAAAACTGGGGATTTAAGAAGGAAAACAATTTAACTGCACAAAATTTTAGTGTATGTACAAATGGACATCTTACCGTCTTAGAACGCCAACACCTACAATAAGCTGCTTTAGTATGGCACAAATCTTCAATGTTTATTTCATTCACCACTTTGGGATTTTCCTTTTGTATTTTAAGATTAATCAAGCTATCCTTCTGTTGTTTTTTCTTTGGGAGGAATGGACGAACTGCAAGGTAGCCAAGTAGTGCAAGCACACCAAGGAAAGGCAATAACCGAAGCCATTCTGAAACTAAACATGTAGATTTGTTAGTCTGCAGTGCTCTTGTAATAGAACTCAAATAGCATATCTCATCTTTGAGATTATTTTTTGTCTATTCTTTACTTTTCACTTCTCAACTATTCATCTGTAAAACCATAACTAACACTATCAAGCCACCTATACCTAGGACCACCTGGTTTCATTTGTGGGCTAACTTGAGACTTGTGAAATGGAAAACAAAATTTTCAGAAATAGGTCCTATATCAAATATCCTCTCTCAGTATCCTCATTAAGTATATTTGTGTTTATCATTATTTTTATTTCAGGAATTATCACCATAATTATAAACAAAATTCAATATGTGATATGTTGTATAGGTTTAGAAAATATTTCCACCATGTCTAAAACCATACAACAGAATATCTGTAAATATTTTACCACTGATTTATAATTTCAGAGAGAACACGTCTTTAATGCTTTAATTTACATTTTTTGGTAAGGCACAGTGATTCCTAAAGAAACACCCACATGTTGTTCAAAGCTAATATTTTGAAGAATTGATATTTTCCCAGACTGAATGTTCTGACTGTTAGATACATCTTATTCCGTAAGTGTTCATTAAATGCCTTCTTAAGTACTCAGCACTGTCCTGGGGGATAAGGAACGTAAGTGATATAAATGAAATGGTCTCCATGCCTGTAGAAACAAACACACCAGGAAACCAAGATAAACATTTCAACATGCATTTATCAAATGTCGGCTTGGCTGGTGTCCTGCCTCTGCTGGGCTCTGTAGGCAATCCTTTCTGTCCTTAAGGAGTTCTCATTTGACATCTTTCACTGGGGGCCTCCCTGATACCTTGTTAAGTAAGCATTGTGAAGAAAGAGCTTAGTCGAGAAAGAGAGAAAATCTGAAGATTATATACAAAGGCATACTAATAAATGTTCATGATAGACTATGGTAAGAGTGCAACTATTATCTCATTTAACACTGTATTAACTTAAACAACTGTATTTGGTAGGCACCATTATTATTCCCATTTTTCATGTGGGTAAACTAACTTAAGCAGTTTTAGTCCAGGACAGTAGGTTCACAGCTTGTTCTAAATCACCAGGAATCAAATCCAACAGATTTAAAATTTTATCTGTTCTTCTCTTGGTAAAACTACTCTCCAGACATAATTGTTCTTTCTCTTCAACTACTGAAAGATTGGCTTAATACCAACTCTTCCAAAATGAAACTATTTTTGATACAACACCATGTCAAAGGTTTGTTATGAACTCTAAATGAAACATTTATATATCTATAGCACCTACAAGTATAAGAGTGCCTGGCACAGAACAGATATACAATAAATGTTAGCTTTTAATAAGAGATTCTGGAGATTGGTAGTGACTCTTTTGAAAAAATATTTTGACAATTTGACAATGCCATATGGTAGAAATCTGGGGGGATATAATCTTGTAGTCACCAGAATGAAGCTTGTAAAGATAAGGATCTTAACTGTCATGCTGGCTTTTCCAGTCTCATAACCAAACTGAACACACTCCAAATAGATGCTTTAAATGAATTCAAGTTCTGGGAATAACAAAAGAAGTTTCTTGGGGGCAGGGGCTACCTATAGATCTGTGCTGTCCAATATAGTAGCCAATAGCCACAATGTTTTGTTTGTGCCCAAGATTTTGTTTTAATCAGATATTGTAAGATGACAGACACAGAGAAAACTGCTTTGAAAGAAAAGTTTGACTTACAGTTCCCAGGAGGAGGGGACACCACCATGCCATACAGGTCAACGGGAAAAGACCAGAGTTGGTCAGGAGGAAGGTAAGAGGAAACGCATGGGCAGAAGCCTTTATTGTGGTCTCCAGCAATGGCAAGGTAAGGCAGGGTAAATAGGTTAGGATTGGATAGCTTGAAAACTTTCAGTGGGCTCTAAACTAAAGCTATAGGGTGGTCCTTAGTTGTTTCATACCTGGCCCACAGTGATTTAGGGCAGTGAAAATCCTGGTTGGCAGGTGAGAGTTAGATAAAGGAGGCTGGCTGGATTATAGGTTTTGGAATGGTTGATTTGCATATGAAAGGTGAGCTCGCAAGCAAGTTGTTTATTATCTCTAGGAATTAGTTAGTCCTGGGAAGGGCAGGTTCTCCTGGGCCAGCAAGACCCCCCAAGATGTCAGCGTCAAAATGTAGAAAGTAAAAAATGATTAAAACACAGATGTGGCTATTTGAGTTTAAATACATTAAAATTAAATAAAACTCAAAATTCAGGTTCTAAGACACACGAGTCACATTTCAGCAGCCCAACAGCCACCGGAGTCTCAATAGCAGCTCAACTGCTACAGTGGCTGCTGTATTTGACAGCACAGAGAACTTTTCCATCATCACAGAGTTTTTTAGGTGGTGCTGCTCATACCACTGTTTCTATAAAGTACTAACTCTATAGCATGGCAGGGCGGCTGTGACAGTTTCAGCTCCCACAAACATTCTACCTCGAGTGTACTTGAAGCCATCCAAAGGTTTTACCTAGTAGCCGCCTTCCTGTGCTTTTTGCAGAAGGAATTCCTTTTGTCTGTCATGCCTTTCTATCCTCTGATCTATGACTTATTTGTGTAAACCCTTTAAGACTAGAGTCAAATATTTCCTCCTCCAGACATCTTTCTTGGTTTCACAAAGCAAAATTAATCACCTCCTCCTATTCTTCCAAGCCCCCTTTCCTCAAAATTCTTTTATTACACTACTGTTATCTATTTATAAAGTCTCTTCTGCAAGCCTGTAAGAAAAGGAGCTATGCACTACTCTCTGGAACAAAGTACACACCTCAGAAATGTTTAATGAATGACTTACTGAATGAATAATGTACAGCATAAATGTCAGTTCTTTTCTCACTCATCACATTGTACTGTAATTATTCATTTACACTTATTTCTGGATCAGGCAATTAATATATTACATCACTATTGGCCTCAATAGCCAGTATAATCTTAAAATAGTATTCAATAAATGTTTGTGGAATGTAGAATAACATTAAGTAGTATACTGTATATAACAAAACTATAAAGTCACAAGAGGTTAAATGACTCAAACTGAAAAAGTAGATGAATGAGAATGTAAAGATGAAAACCTTAACTTATATTTTTAAGTTTAGCATTTCCTATCCTAAGCCACAAATCTCAGGAAATAGATGGATTAATACTACTTTAAAGTCTACTTCAGAAAATGTTGCTCTTTTGACACTTAATTCCTTGGTGAAACACTATTTTCTCTCTCTCTTATTTTATATATACATATATATATATATATATGTGTGTGTGTGTGTGTGTGTATATATATATATATACACACACACATATATATATGTACTATTATCTCCTACAACAAAGTAATAACACAACAATTTTAGTACCATATGCTTTTTAATAATCAACTTCAATTTAACTACAGAAAAGCTTTATAAAGGAAAATAATACAACCTATAAAGCTCAATTAGAAATCATTTTATTTACTAAGGGGCTGATTTTTAGTGAAGAAATATGAAATACAGAAAAATTAAACAAGAAGCTTTAAAAAATCTATTTCCTAAGAACCCATTCAACACATGTTGGGCTATGACAGATATTTAGATACTGTGAAGAAAAAACTATTACTGTTAGATATGATATATATTTTGTACAGCATATTTTTTATTTTTGTTGTTTTAGAATTTATAAAAAATTATTTTTAAAAACTTAGAAAAATATAAAAAATAACTTTCAATCCCCCCCGGTCAAGAGTCCGTAACACTTTGTTATAATTCTGTGTTGTTGTTGCTTTTGTTTTGGTTTTTTGGTATGTAACTATATATGCTTTAAATATTTAAAAAGACAAAAAGCAAAACTGAGACCATATTGTATATACATTCTCCATCCTACTTTTTTCTCCTAATATTATATTAGAAACATTTCCCAATTCCTTCATATCCTTTGGAAATATGAATTTTAATGGCAATACACACCTACCATGTACCCCAATCATCACAGAAGATTTATAAGAGCAGGGATTTATTTGTCTGAGCCACTACTGTATCCTAAGTGCCTAAATAATGCTTGGCTGAATTTACTTTATTTTAAATTGAGGCATAACTTATAGTTCAGCCTACTGAGCTTTGTATTAAGTGTTCAATTTGATGAATTTTGAAATATATAGACCCGTAAACACCATCTAAAACAAATCTAGTGTATTTCCACCACTCCCCTCTTTCTGGGTTCTTTCATCAATTTAAGTGCTTAATAAATATTTCTAAATGAAGAAATCTGATCCATTTGTTATTGTTAAAGAATCTGTTGTCAACTCTTTTACTATATAATTATGAAGTGCCTACTATGTGAAGACACCGTGCTAAATGCAAGTGCAGCAGCTGTCTTATTTGCCTCTATGTGCCCAGTGCTTACTACAGTGCCTGGCATAGAGCAGGATTTCAAATACATAACTAAGTCACAGTTTATCTGTTGTATAAGTCCAGATTTTCATAGACTTGGAGTCAGGTTTCTTTGGTCTGTAAAATAGGAATAACAATAATTCATTCATTTGTTCCACAATATAAGTAACCCACCACATTCCAAATACTGCACTAGGTGCTGGGAACACAAGCTAATATTAATAATTAGATAAGGTCCCTGTTTTTATAGGCTACACATTTTAGAAGAAGGAACTTTCCATCTAGTATGGAATACAGATCTATCAAGGATCCCAGTACTGTGTAGTATGTGTAATCATAAATAAGCAACATAGAGGAAGAAATGATTACCTCTTTGCAGGAATGAGCAAAGATTTTATGGGGAGGGTTTGACACCTAAACAGGTTTCGGAAAGATGAACAAGAGTACAGGAGGGGGTCTCTAGGCAGATGGGAGGAGCTATGTTCCACACAAGAAAAACAGCATAGGCGAAGGCACAGAGATATGCCATACATGAAAAGTTTGGGAAACTAAGTGCTATGGTTTTGCCGGGATATAATGACAAAGGTGGGGGGCTGTAGACGTGAGCAGATGCCAG